TCTAGACACTATACCAAAGGCTATTTTAGCAACTACACAAACTCCAAGTCCCGGGGAGTAGCAATACTCCTCTCATCACACCTACCATTTACATACAAAGAACATATGTCAGATGATAATGGAAGGTATATATTTCTGAAAGGCCTAATGGGATCAACTCCAATAACACTGGCCAATGTTTACCTCCCCAACCGAAAACAATTCCAGGCCCTACGCAAAATACTCAAGAAACTAGAGACCTTCACTGAGGGCATGCTAATTCTAGGGGGCGACTTCAATACCTCATTAGATGGAGCACTAGACACTACCTCCCTGGCCCAGACCTACCAAACCTCAACTCGTGTCCTTATCCAAAAGCTGCTAGACTCCTATCAACTCTTTGATTGTTGGCGAGTCTCACACCCGACCGAACGAGAATACTCATACTATTCATACTCCTCAGGCTCATACTCTCGGATTGATCTACTTCTCATGCCACATAGATTCCTGAACTTGGTTAGCTCATGCCAGTATAGCCCAATTACATGGTCGGATCATGCGCCCATCTCTCTCACCGTCACGATCCCCTCCCTCCACCCCACTAGAACGCAATGGAGACTGAACGACACTCTACTCAATCTTCCCGACATACGAAACATAATAGAGGAATCTCTAGGACACTACTTTGAGCTCAACACACACCCAGACTCCACTTTCCCCATGATATGGGAAGCACATAAGAGCACAATCAGAGGTACATTCATACAGGCAGCAGCTAGACTCAAGAAACAAAGGGAATCCCGCACACTCAGTCTCACCAAGGAAATCAGGAATTTGGAGGAGACACATAAAAACAACCTCAATCTCGCCACCTACAAGGTACTGGTGGAGAAAAGGACTGAGCTCAACATGATCCTTAACGTCAGCACCAAACGCGCCCTAGCCAAAACGAGAAGCACATATTATGCACAGGGGGGTAAATGTGGACGCCTCCTGGCCCACGCCTTGAAGAAGCAAAGGGAACACACATTTATTGCAGCCATCCGAAACAAAGAGGGAACACTATCACACTCAATGACAGACATTCTCACAGAATTTAAAGAATTCTACTCCTCTCTATATAATCTGAGACAGACCCCCCCAGAAATAGCAGACATTCATAAATTTCTCGCCCCCAGGATACACGACACCCTGCCACACAATATACAAGACTCACTAGAACAGCCCATTTCTCAAGATGAATGTCTACAAGCGATAAAACACCTACCTTTAGGGAAAAGCCCAGGCCCCGACGGGCTGACAGCCAAATACTACAAAACATTCGCTTCCTTACTAGTACCTCACTTTCAGAACTCTTTCAACGCACTACTTAACACAGCCACCCTGCCCCCACAAGCCTTAAATGCAACGATCACACTTCTTCCCAAGCCCGGGAAAGACCCGACCCAATGCGGCAGCTACAGACCGATCTCACTAATAAACATAGACCTGAAGTTGTTCACAAAAATCCTAGCTAATAGACTCCGCCCAGTACTACCAGGACTGATACACGCTGACCAGTCGGGTTTCATCCCAAATAGAGAGGCCAAACACAACACCACAAAACTATTAAATCTCATACACAAAGCCACGAGAGAGAAATGTCCCAGTCTACTCCTGTCCATTGATGCGGAAAAAGCGTTTGACAGGGTAGACTGGACCCTGTTATCTCACACCATGCAGCACCTGGGATTTGGCCCAAACTGGCTAAAATTGTTTAACGCGATTTACTCACAACCCACGGCGAATATTCGCGTAAACGGTCAACTGTCAGAACCAGTAAAAATAACAAATGGCACTAGGCAGGGATGCCCCCTATCACCCCTACTGTTCGTCATGGTCCTAGAACCCTTCCTTCAGGGCATCAGGGATAATACCCTTATCAAAGGCATCAAGGTAGGCAAGACAGAGCACAAGATTGCAGCGTTCGCAGACGACATGCTCTTCACAATCTCAGATCCCATAGCATCCATACCCCACTTAATGGCCGAAATGGATACGTACAGCAAGATCTCCAATTTCAAGGCGAATCTCAGTAAATGTGAGATATTGTCACTACACGTTACCCCTCAGGACAAGGCCACTCTACAACATGACCACCCATTTATTTGGGCTCCCAGCAGTATAAAATACCTAGGAATCCACTTAACCAAGGAGGCATCCCACCTGTTCGGGAGCAACTTCCCGGACTTGCTGAAGGGTATAACCTCGGACCTCCAAGCCTGGAACAAGCCACAATTTGGTTGGTTTTGCAGGCTGAATATCCTAAAAATGAATGTCCTCCCGAGACTACTGTATGTCCTGCAGGTACTGCCAATCATGCTGCCGAAGTCATGGTTTGCACAGGTTAGAAAGACACAACATACATTTGGGCGCACAAAAACCCTCGGCTCGCATACTCACTCCTCACGAGATCAAAAGATGAAGGAGGTCTGGGCCTCCCTGACATAGAGAGATATCACCAAGCTATTCTCCTGACTAGACTATATGACTGGACACAACCACACTCTGCTACACAATGGATTAACGTAGAGGACTCCTTCCTCAGAGCACCCATATACACAATACCATGGCACAAATCCGGGCAGTCACTCCTGCTACACGCACCTCATCCTACCATTTCACCAACCCTACGCATGTGGGCGAAACTGAGAACACATCAAACGATATCCCCGTACCCCTCACCGCTTTACCCACTCACCCTCAACCCCTTATTTCAACCGGGAGTAGATGGTAAAGCATTCAAGCATTACCATGATTCAGCCTATCTCTCACTAGAAACCATCATTGACGACACAAACCACCAAATCAAACCCCTACATGCCATCACGGATAGGCAGAATGCGATACAATCTCTTCAATACCACCAGCTCACCCATTTTATACGCACTGGTCCGCTAGCCCACGACACGTTCCGCACGCATACCCAATTTGAGCAAATATGCAAAACCCATACCGTGAAGAAAAAACTAATCTCACTGATGTACACAACGATTGCAAAGACACAATCCCACCACCCACCGGTGTTCACTCTGTCATGGGAAAAAGAACTAAACATCTCTATCACACCTGAAACATGGCGTAATATCTTTAAACAGATTCACAGATCAGCCAAAAACACCACAATCCAAGAGAGTAACTATAAAAGAATAGCGAGATGGCACTATACCCCGACAAGGCTGAAAGCCCTCTTTCCCTCCCATTCACCACACTGCTGGAGATGCCATACGCCTGAAGGCAACACAGCACATATCTGGTGGAATTGCCAGGTAATCAACCGATACTGGAGACGCATCCATGGAATATTACAATCAGCTCTGAACACCCTCATCCCATTCACCTCTGAGCTCTTCATCTTTCTAATCCCCCCCCGGAATATACCTAAACTGACAACAGACCTCCTAATTCCCCTAATATCAGCAGCGAACCAACTCATACCAGCGCTGTGGAAACACCCCAATGCCCCCTCCATTCGGGAATGGATACAAAACGTCGAAACATTGAGAGGCCTGGAGGAGACTTGTCACTCCCTAGCAGGCACATTTCTCCACTACACATCTGTTTGGCAACCCTGGTGTGACTATCTAAAAAACAGCGCAATATAACTGATGATCTATCGATGTAACTAGACCTCAACCCCCTACTACCAGGTACAGCAAATACCCCCCACACCTCCACTCCCCCCCCCTCCCCTCTCTCAGACACAAGGGAAATTGGTAGGGCAGTTAAAGCACCTCCTGATATCATTCCTTACCCAACTTACAAGACACAACCAATGAGATGTACCTGTGACGCCAGCGTCCTGATCATAGCTAAACCCTAGGCCATACAAAGATCGAGAATATGCAAAACACGCCTTTCGGATACAACACTGTATTGAGATGCAATTTGAATGTTACTCACTGTATTACCATACATTATCACTGTTCAGTTATGTACTTCAGACTTTTCTTTGCCGTTATTCTATTGGGAATGCACAGAACCTCAATAAAAACCTTTAAAAAAAAAAATAAAAAAATTAATAAAAGGAATGGAACATTTTAGTTATGAAGAAAGGTTAACAGATTTAAACCTCTTTAGTTTAGAAAAATGTCACCTCAGAGGTTATATGATAACATTATACAAATATATTTGTGGCCATTACAAACAATTGTGTGGAAATCTATTCACAAACAGGACTTTACACAGGACACGAGGTCATGCGTTTAGACTGAAATATATATTTTTTACAATAAAAAAATAAGGATATGGAATTCTCTGCATTAAGAAGTGGTTTTATTAGAGTCCGTACAGGTGTTTAAACAGTAACTAGATGCATACGTGCAAAAACAGAATATTCTAGGATATAATTTGTCAATGTAGGGTAAATGCTTCTTGATCAAAAGGATTTATCTGACTGCCATTCTGGGGGCAAAAGAGAATTTTCTTCCTAGTTTGTTGCAAAATTAGGGATTATTTTAGCCTCGGTGAGGGAATAATCTAAATTTTATTAAAAAGACAGGAGGCGAATATTTGCTTTACCTTCTTTACTGAAACCTCCAGCAGCAAAGAAACAGTTAACAGAACTTTTCAAAACAACCAATCAGAACAAAGCAACAGTAGTATAAAACCCCTAAGCAGGCTCTTCCACTTCCTCTTTCTTTGATGAGGTCGAGCAGGAGAGCAAGGAAACCAACGAATCCACCTTGTAGCAGACACATCCAGAGAAACAATCGTCAAGCCCAGAGAGAAAACAGATTACACTGCAAGAAAACAGAAAACATTGTGAAAGTAAACTGTCAAGGCAAGATGTCATATCCATACAATATCACTTGCACATCATAATACCTGATGAATAAACAAAGTCTACAGATCTTATGAAGGCCTAGTATGTACCTAAACTAAAAGGCATTGACGAAACAATTACAACACAAACATGATGAATAAAACGCACACGGACAATCATCACTGAATATTAGAAATAACCTTTATTATGTAAAACCATGCATTCACAAAACATAACAATATCCCCAATTATTTATAATAGAATAAAACCAAAATCCAGGGAGGGAACATTAAAAAAAAAGTGGGGGGGGAAATATTCGCCTCCTGTCTTTAATAAAATTTAGATTATTCCCTCACCGAGGCTAAAATAATCCCTAATTTTATGGCAGGACAGGAGGCTTCATATTTGCAATTTTAACGCCCAAATAGTAGAACCAGAAGCAATATGAGATAGGAGGACTGAAATAAAAGGAGAATGGAAAAAACGATTCCCTAAACCAAGCAGCAGTGTAGAGAAAATGCAGAAGGGACCCAACAGCTTCCAAAGTTCTTGAGGTGACAGCACCCCGAACCAAAAGTGTCCCAGACACTTTCGTCCGTCTACTCATGGACAGCTGTTTATTTCTGCGTATGGCCATTTTGGACTGTTTCTGCATCTTCGCTCGCCCGTTGGATTTGGTGGATCTGGGGCTAGTTAAGGGGGAACCCTATGAACAGAGACGTGTCAGCTCAATTTGGTTTAATTTTATTTTGTAACGTATTTACATATTTAATTTTTTTTATATTATATATAAATATATATATAACAATAATTATATATATATTTAATCAGTATCAGTCTACGTGTAATTTGATATTAATATATATATATAATTATATATATATATATATATAAATAGTAAAATACACCTAGACGGTGTACGTGTGTGTATGTATATATATATATATATATACTTAGATCATATATATATATTTTTTTTACACTAATACATTTTATTTTAATTTTATTTTCAGCCAGCAGGGGGACCACCTGTCATTACAGGCAGCCCCCCTGCTGGTAATGCAGGTGGCAGCCTACCCGGCCATGTGATTGTGGGGTCCTCGCAAGGACCCCACTCTCACATGGCCGGGGGGCACCGGAGGAGGATCTACCGCGGGGGGGTAAGTAGGCAAAAACCGGAGGGCGTACAATTACGCCCGGCGGCGTTTAGAGCCGCCTAAAATAGGGTGTAATTGTACGCCCTCCGGTCAGAAGGGGTTAATTTTAGTTTCCAAAAAATGTACGGAACATTACTAGTTCCATTGTAAGTGAAAAGGTGAAATTAAGGTTAGGTGGTGTCAAATCTAATTTGATGACCGAAATTGCAGACACCCAGGCAGCACACCTCTAAAAAGTAGGGCTCCCTCTAGGCCCCACAAACACACAAACACAAGGAGTAATACAAACAAAAAGGGCTATTGAGGTTGTGCCAAAATGAAAAAAAAAACAAGTATATGGGTGAAGATATCAACAGAAGGGGTAGAGAACAACAAAGTATGAACAAATTATTAAAGGCCAAAAAAACCAAAAACATTTAGTATAGTGATAAATATTTTTTTAATAAAAATAGATGTAACAGAATGTCCAAAATAAAGTCCCAATAAACAACTTGCCAGAAGATATAGCTTGTCACGGCCCACCTTAGTGGGAGTCCGGTATGCAGAGATATGTGCTCACCCTTTCAATTAAACACAGGCCAAGGTGGTCAGGTAAGAACTCACCTGGCCTGTGAGTCTGTGCACGGGGGTTGTGCAAGATATTGCTCCAAGTCGCAGTACAGGTAGGGACATAAGCAGGAGAATCGTCGTGGGTAAGCCAAAGGTCAGAGGGTGCCAGAAGTCAGGATAAATGAGGGTAAGCCAAAGTCAGAGGATGCCAGAAGTCAGGATACATGAATAACAAGCCAAGGTCAGGAGCCAACTGGAGAACGCTGGATCACAAACACCAATACAGGAACCCAGGTCAATGAACTGACAATGCCCTCAGAGAGTGTTTTATACCTGGCTGATTAAACATACTATATAGCTGGACCATGATTGACAGGACAGGAGCAGTCATGGGTAAGTCCAGCTCCCAGTGCTGGTGACATGGAAAGGATAAGTTTCAGTCCAAGCCAAGAACTGAAGTGGCTCAGAGGCAGGAATACAGGCTGAGAACCATAAAGCACCCAGGTTCAAATCCTTTGTTGGGCACTTCTGGGGCGACCTCGTCTGGATGTCACGGCAAGAACCGTGACATAGCCTCAATTCTGTAAAAGGAGATACGTCTATGTAAATGCCAGACCAGGGTTTTCTTAGGGGCCATATAAAAAAAAAGAAGAGAAAGGAAAACTAGTGCAATATGTATCAGAAGTAGATAATATGAATAAAATAAGTCTACTCTGGTCCTACTAATGTTTTACAGAGCTTAAACCCAGCTCTTGTATGAATAGCATACAGTGGTATAATCCCCACTTATAGGATACATTAGGGGATGTAGCTAGGCAGAGGTTTCCTCTATATGTAGACCATAAAAGGTTAAAAGAAACAATAGTGCTTACAGTATAAAAGGTTCCAGCGATATAAAATAAAGTATGTTGAAATCACATTTAATTTAGCAGGCAAACTGCTCAATGTACGAGGCGTGAGTGGTATAATCCCCATTTACGATTCTTTATGGAGTAGTCCACTCTGGAACATTAAAAACTTAATGCCAGGTAGAAATTAAAATAAAATAGTAACACATTTTTTATTTTTTTAAAAAGTAAAATGGCACACTCACAATTGAAAGTAGCCAAAATATCTTAATTAATAACAATGATAAAATAACCAATTAAATATCCACTTGAAAAAGCCTAGATGGTGAAACGCGTTGTGGATTTGTTATCATTATTTTAGATTTTTATAATTTTCTCTTTTATTAATGTACCAAATTTAGTTTTTTTGGCTTTTAATAGGCTGAAGCCTACCTGTCACAGAAGGCTGTGGGAGACTGGGAGCGGAAGTGTCCATTTCTGGCCTCTTCCTTCCGGCGAGGTCAGCAGCATTAGTGTGGGGCGGTACTTGTGTGTGGACGGGACTTGTGTTCGGGGGCAACGCTTGTGTGCGGGAGGTGGGGCAAAACAAAGAGGCATAGAATATCTGGGGATTCGGAAGGGGGCATTACAGTGGCAGCCTAAATGGGGCTGCACCATTACCTTGGACGGACACAAGCTGTCACAGTCTGAGGGAAAATTATTTCAAAGGCACCTGCATGTGGGGTTATGGCAAGTTGAAAAAAGTGCCCCCCCCTTATCCTCCCCCCCCCCCCTCCAGACGTCCATGGTTCTGGGGTCAAGAACACAGGCGTACGAACCATGGGGAATGGGGGGGACGCATCCTCCCCAGGAAATCATCCAGGAGGGACAGATAATGCAGAAATCCCCCCCAGGTCCGCTGGCCAAAGGAGAGCGCAAAAATCACTTGTCAGACTGACAAGTGATGTTTGCCATCCCCCTGAAAGGCTGCATGGGCTCCATAATGGATCCGCACGCAGTGTACACTGGGATGGGGAGCGCCTCCCCCTCCCTCTCTGCATAGGAGCGCTGGGTGTCACGTGACTACCCGGCGCTCAGTCTGACACTGTGCGCCACTTGAAGAGGTCCCCCTCCCCTGCTCTGTGTGGTAAAACGGCAGGGAGGGCCCCTGGTCTCCTACAACTGCAGAGCAGCGCCTCACACTTTCAGCCCTGAACCCTGAGCCCAGAGCACTGCTGGTGTCTTCAGTACTGTAAGTACAAGAAGATGTATTAGTTGTTTTATGGGGGTTAGGAGGCTAGGTGGTTGGAGGGGAGACGATTAGGGACGGGTGGATAGAGGGGTTAACCAGGGATATCATACTGATCACATGGAATGTTCACATCTAGCCAGGGATGCCATACTGAGGACATGGAATGCTCACATCTAGCCAGGGATGCCATACTGAGCACATGGAATGCTCACATCTGGCCAGGGATGCCATACTGAGCACATGGAATGCTCACATCTAACCAGGTATGGAATGCTCACATCTAACCAGGGATACCACGCTGAGCACATGGAATGCTCCCATCCAGCCAGGGATATCATTAGTACAGTATTATCTGCACATTGTTTACAAAAAAATTTTTTTTTAGAATAATGATAGACATTTTAATTTCATACATTTGTGATGATTCTTTTTTTCCCTCTATATTCAAGTGACACTATAGTCATCAGAACCACAACGGCTAAACGTAGTAGTTTTGATGTTTATAGCATGTCTCTGCAGGCTTTTTAATGTAAGCACATTCAGAAAAAGGCAGTATTTACATTATTGCCAAGGAATACCTTATCAGGCGGCCACTAGAGGCGCTTCCTAGTCCAGTGTTGCACAACATGCAGCACTAGCATTCACGCTGAACACTCCTCATAGAAATGCATTGATTCAATGCATCTCTGTGAGGAGATGCTGATTGGTGCAGCGCAGTGTTTTGCCACGCATTGGATTGGCTGATATATATTCAAACACTGTACATTCCTGTGCATTGTATTGATGAGGTTATCTGTAATTGTCATGCGGTATCTCTTCCGGGTTCGGCATTCCCGTTATGTGGAGCCGGCCCCGCCCCCTTCTGACACGGTTCTCTGACACAACTTAGAGAGAGACCGCCAGGGACGTATTAGCCGCCTAGGGCAGCACAAAACCATGAACTGTTTCTTGCTTTGCAAATATTCTCTGCTACCTGCATACTATTTCTATTGAAGATTATTCCTATCAACCTAACGAATATTATTCAATACATCTCTGAGGAAATACTTATTGATGAACTTTGTATTGTTTGCTATAACCAGCAATTTCTTCTTACTGAATTATTACCTATATGCTTTTCACTTAAGTTTATCACAATCATTAAAACTTTGTTTGATTCTCTAATTGCCAGCAAACCTCTCTTTTCTTAAAGCTACAGTATTGATAATTTAAAGATTCTCTGTTTCTTCACTACTGTAATTAAAGGACCACTATAGTGCCAGGAAAACATACTTGTTTTCCTGGCACTATAGTGCCCTGAGGGTGCCCCCACCCTCAGGGACCCCCTCCCGCCCGGCTCTGGAAGGGGGAAGGGGGTAAAAACTTACCTTTTTCCAGCGCTGGGCGGGGAGCTCTCCTCCTCCGATCCTCCTCTTCTCCTCCCCGTCGGCTGGCTGCGCGCGCATTCAGCCGGTCACATAGGAAAGCATTCTAATGCTTTCCTATAGACGCTGGCGTGCTCTCACTGTGAAAATCACAGTGAGAAGCACGCAAGCGCCTCTAGTGGCTGTCAATGAGACAGCCACTAGAGGAAATAGGGGAAGGCTTAACCCATTCATAAACATAGCAGTTTCTCTGAAACTGCTATGTTTATGAAAAAAATGGGTTAACCCTAGCTGGACCTGGCACCCAGACCACTTCGTTAAGCTGAAGTGGTCTGGGTGCCTAGAGTGGTCCTTTAAGGAGTTC